AATCTGAGGATCATTCTACTGAAAAGCAGAATATACAAATATAATAGAGAATAGAGTTCCAGAACAGCAACCTTCTTAGGATGCTAATTTTGTATATGCAAGATTTATTCTGTTGGTGGACCAGGAACATGTCAACCCCCTAACATCCGAGCTGCAGTGGTATACTCAAACTGGCCTACCATTTCTGCTGCTGTTTGTCTGAACACTACCATCACCTTGCAACAAGGTTTTGTTAAATAATACCAACACACAACACACACACCAATCAGGCTTGCATTGTGTGGGAAGTGGGGAGAAATTAATTCTTCCTCCATGCACTATAGGCCTAAAGAAAGATGCTCCTTCAAAGCTCTTATTCACATGACTATTGCACACACATGCGCAAACATGCCATGAACACCCCAGAGACATTAGATACACTTAACATGGAATTTGGGCCATGTGTGGCTAGCATTTCTCTAGTGTTGCTTTATAACAAGGCACAGAAGCTGCATTTGCAAACTACCCTCTGAGAAACACATGTATTTCAGCTATTAATTTAAATACATCACAGGCAGGAACAGAGAGGAAAACATCTGGCAAGCAATCTTAGGTACTATATATTTAGTCATCAGAAGTGCAGCATTTGAAGCTTGTCTGTCTCATTGTTTTTTAAAGAAAACAAACAAAAAACCAAGCAAGTTTTGTTTCAAGCTAACACAGACGGGCATTTCATGAATAAGCAATTTGTACCATGCCTACTTTGGCAAAACAGTTTCTCACAGATCAAAAATCTGTAACAAGATGTGATGCTTTAGGTCAGCATTTCCAAAGCTTCTGAAAGTAGATACATATTTCATCCCATAATTAAAATTGGATGATGTTTCACCTTCAACTGTAGTTATAGTGCCTTTTTAAAAGAAGAACAGACTATGGGGAGAGAGGGAGATGGGAACAGCCCATTAGGACAGTACACGCTTCATGGGAAGGAAGTCCCAAGCTCAATCCTCAGCATCTCCAGACAGAGCTGGAAAAATTCCTGCTTCAACCCTTCAGGGTTGCTGCCAATGCGCATTAACAATACTTGGCTAGATGAACCGAAGGTATGACTCACTATAAAGCAGCATCCTGTGTTTTAATCTAATATCCGAATCATTTACTAGTTTAAAATGTGAAAGGGTATAAAAAGAGCAACCTCCCCCCTAAAAAGCCTTGGCCACAAATAAATCAATCCCATGTTTTTCTCCATGTTCACTGAATTACTCCCAAATAAAAGGAGGTAACTCCTGAGCAACTCAGCAATGGGCAACCTCTTTTGAAGTTGGATATTAGTTCTACTTCAAAGTAATTGAATGTTCCAGTCATATCTGAAAATCTACACCAGAATTATTCATCTTTAGGATGTCATTCTCTGTTGACAGGGTCTTTTAAGCTCGCAATCATGTCTAATTACCCTAAAAAGATCTGTTTTATTTAATAGCAATATTTGGACTTCTTGGCTGTGAGAAGTATGTAACACTGCCTGCTAAAGTCCCAAAAGTCAGAGCAGAAACTGTGAGTGTCAGCAGGAGGCAACAACTGGTCACTGGACTAGTGAGAAGAAAGAAGAAGTCTTAAGATAGGAGCATGGAACCTCAAGCTTGGGATCTGCAGATGGGTATATTTCCTCCCTCCGGGCTCACGTTGCTTCTCCAGGTGCCACATTTCAAGCTTTACTGGCTTTTGTAGTTTTTCTCAGTTCTAAAAAGTTGAAAGGCCTCTTCTAAGCCTTAGCTACTGGTAAAGTGCTTTAAGCTACAATACAGTTTTTGGAGGGGAACCATTTTTTTTTCCCCCCCCCCCCCCCCCCAGTTTGGCCCTTGAAGTGAAAGAGTTCACACCCCTGCCTGAATATAAAGCAATTCTACCTGAAAGAAGCAAAGTCTTCACAGTCATTCTTAGCTTCATATAACCAGCTTTTTAAAGCTATGGTAACATCCATGTGATCTATATGTTACCCCTTTAAAAAAAATGGAAAATAAATAGTAACTTCTTGAAAACTAAGCTTGTAGCACATGTTGTGTCTGGACTAACTTTGTTCTAGAGTTTGTTCTAGGGGTTTGCCTGCAAACATTCTGAGTGGGAGGGGGGAAGTGATGGCACATTTGGAGTTCAGCACACCGTTGGGTCTGCATCTTGGAAAAATTGACTAAAAGGAAAGAGGAGCAGAGGGACCAAAAAAGCAGGCAGGTTTGGACAGAGGAAATTTTGCATGGAGTACCTTTATGGATTTATCCTTGAAGGAGGTGGCTTCCATAAAGAGATCCACAGGTTGGTGTGCAATAGTGGTGCAGTTGTGGGATAACCTACTATTATAGTAGTTACCTCACAACAGTGAGCTACACCAGAGAAGGGGTATTCCATGACAGTTTATCTTCTTTTTTAATTTTGTGAGCCAATTTGAGATCTTTTCTGGCTGAAGGGCAAGACACATCTGGGCTAAGTATGGTCTCCAAGCGACCAAACATGAATGATTTTGTAAACTGAAAGAGGGTTGGTTTGCTTTGCTTTGCTTTGATCCTTCAGGCTTTCAATGTGTCATTCAGACATGCATGGGCTGGCGAGTGCTAACGTAATGCTCATTTATAAAGCTGAAATAAAATTTCTTGTATATGTCACATAATGTCAAGAAGGCCCAGGAATCAAGCAGTCATAACATGTGCTGGATTTAAACTGTATGCTGGTACAAATAAATTTGTCTCTTAACACTGATAAATCCATTTATTTGCTTTAAAAGCCACCAGTGTCTCCACAAGAGGTCAGTAATAGCTCTCTTCTGATGTTCCAAACATTGAAGCTGGGGAAAGGGAGTCAGGTTTTCACTTTAAGCAGAGAGTTGGAAAAGAGAAAAGGAACTTTTCCCCCTTTTGCACAAACCCTTTGACCCAAAGCTGGGTCTTTACCCACCATCCTTGCTAAAGGGCATTAAACACTTGCTATAGTAAATCTGGAAAATAAATTTTTACACTACCCCAGGAGTCCATCTAGCCTTCCCTCTAAAAAGATTTGCTTTAAGACCTTTTCCTCTGGGAAGGTCTTCAGCCTTATACCTGGCTTTCCCTTGTTTGTGATTGGTTTAACTGCTATTCAGTTGCAGTTTTTCTTCCTGGTGCTCTTATTTTGAATTCTGAGGTTCAGAGACTCAAGCCTATCCAGTGCAGAGCAGGACAAGTAGCAGAAGTGATCTCTGCTTCTGTCCACTACCTGCTCTGAATTTCCATTAGATTTTGGCAGTTTACAATGGTGTTTCAGAAAAGGCTGAAAGGTGGCTATGGAGGCCACAGGTTATGTCATAGCCTAGCCTTAAATATCTCTTCCTCCTTCATTCCTTGAAACACCCCCTTCTAACCCCTCTCCAACTTTATTTATTAGTTATATACCATTTTTCTTTCTAAAGGACTCAGAGCAGCTTATATCATTCTCCTCCTCCTGCTTTCAATCTTCCCAGAACAACAACCCTGTGAGGTAGGCTGGACTGAGAGTCTGTGGCCCAAAGTCACCCTATTGGCTCCATGGCTGAGTGTGGACTAGAACCCGGATTGTCTGAGTCCCAGTCCTGCACTCTTAACTGCTATCCCACACTGGCTCTCACTGCTTTTTCAGGCCTCATAGAAAAGCTTAGTGCAGTGAGGAATGGGAATAGCAACTGGTGCTCTGATTCCTAGATCCAAGCTCAAAGCACTGTCTCTGACCTTGACACTGGGAAACTGAACTGTCCTATAACCCCTATGGCCCAGGGGCCATTCCAATTAATAAATCATAAATCTCAGATTTTCAGGTAAACACTGAGCAATCACTGGGGTAGGCTAGATAAGCAGGATTTTTTTCTTGCTAAGTGCAATTCATCAAGGAAATCATTAAGGATTAAATGGTTATGCTAAGGTTAAGATAAAAGTTGGTCAGGGTGTGTGTGAGACAGACAATGGACAAAAAAAAAGATACCTGTTGTGAAATTTATGCAATATTTGATTGTACATATGAGCACAAAGACTTTTAGGAAGGGTTAACCTATTATGGGATAGGGGAGGATATTGATAAACACAGTGTGTAGGAGTATGAATTTCTAGTTTAAGGAGACTAATTGAACAGGGATAGGGCAGAAAAGGCACATACCTTTCCCCTAATCCCACCTTTCCTCTAAGGAGTTCAGTGTGTCTGTATTTGCCACCTCTTTAATTCATACAGCAACTCTGCAAGATAGGTTAGACTGAGAGATGCTAGCTGGCCCAAAGAGGGATCTGGAATGGGCTACTCCAGTCACAACACCATACCAAGGATATCATTTAATAATGTACTGGCTCTTCCAGATCCCCAAAGCTAAGGATGCTTCTAAACCAAAGGCCTTTAATACTGCCAATAAGAGGCAATTGTGCAGCTGTTTTACCTTTCCCTCCTTAGTAGAATTTCTAGGTTAAGAAAAAAAATGGTTGTAAGAAACATGAAAGTGTTACAAAGAGAAGATAGTATAAGCCACTCATCCCACATAAAATTCTTTAACTGAAGCAGGACAATTGCATAATAAAAGTCTTGTCTGAAAGCACCTGAGGACTCCCAAAACTGAGAGCCTCACTCAGAGGGTGGAATCAGTCAGGACAGTCAAGCCGACGAAAGCTGCTGGAGGGCAAACACGACTAACTGTGCCTTGTGCTTCAGACTGCAGCCTGGTGCCTTGGAGAGCGGAACAAGTAAAAACGCTTCACATTTTAACTCCTCCCTCCGGATACGCTTAGAAGGCGGATGCTAACGAGACAAACGCAACAGAGGCGCGCTACACCAGACCAACGCCAAACAGGGTGAAGGAAAAGAAAGTCCTGGTGGGAGGGGCACAGAGGAAGAAAGGCGAGGGATAAAGCCAGCTTGGGGGGGGGGGGTGTTCAGGGGAAGAGAGCGGAGAAGCCAAAGCCACCTGAGGGTCCAGGTGGATGGGCTTCCCGTAAGCAAAGACCCTCTAAGGGGCGGGGGAAGCACAAGTCAGGACCCACCTGTGGGGGAGGGAGGCAAGAGAATCAAAGCAGGCACTTCCGGCTTCCTTCACGGCTCTGCACGGACTGTCAAAACGATAAAGGGCCGGGGTTGGGGGAAGCACGTGGCCAAGCCCCCATCTCGCCCACCACCCAATCGGACGCTGGTATTTTCAAGAAGCCACACCCTCCTCCTCGCCGCTCCCTCGCGATTCTTCCTCCACCCCCGCAAAAGGTCGGCGCCAGCAGCCGGGCGGGGAGGAGAGGGCAGAACAGAGCATGCGGGAGAGAAAAACGGAGGGGTGGAAAAATGGCTTCAGGAGTGGGGCCACGCCCCGTCCTTCCCGTAAAAGCCAGTCACACCATCATTCCCTCCCTCCCTCCTACAAAGTGGGCAACACCACCCACGCAGATGAAATTTTATCCGTAGTTACTCCCGCCTGTTGCAGACCTTCTAATGCTAAGCTTCGCTTTTTATTGGCTCTTCGGGGTCCACGTGATTTTCTTTAAGCTACTTTGGCTAAAGAGAACCAGAGTTTAGAGACGGCTGTCCTCCGACTTTCCGATATGAATAGACTTTTTTTTTAATCCTCCGCCCAGGGCGGAAATGAAGGTTGCTTGTAGAAATCAGCCTCGACATTAGCGAAGCTGTGATGGGGAAACCTTAAAGCCCTTTTCTTTCCTTATTACTGCAAAATGAAAAATCAAGTCACAAACAGAAGCATTCCCACTTGGTATGATTATTTTACATTTCCCTTCAGTTTTTGACTATTTGTAAATGCAGCCCGTCTGAACATTATGAAAGCAGGAATGGGGCATTTATTATGCCAAACACAATGACGTTGTGAAAGCAACGTTTTAGGACAAAAAGCCTTGCATACTTATTAACTCAATAAAACCCAGAATCTAAACAGAACAGAATGGCCTGGAATGCCAACTTCCAAGCAAGCCAAGCCAGTGAAATTCACCAATCATGCATAGATTGTATGGGAAGTCTGCTAGAACACGTAGACAAAATCTGTATTTAAATACATCTTCCACCTTGTAATTTATACAGCCCAAAACAGCAACCAACAAAATTTTCAAGCCACAAAATGCCCAGAGAAACCATGTTTTGGTACCCATTCAAGGCAATACTCCATGCTTTTGAAAAATGGCCTGGAACAGCAAATTCCAAGTGAAACAAGCTAAACCAATTCACTACTCACACACAACTATATGAGAATAGCCCTGAAGACCAAGTGTAAATGGGCCAAAACCACCAAATGTGTATGACTGGGTGGAAAACATCCACAGAAATGGTGTTCTGGATATCTTCCTGGCAATAAACAGTACACAGGGAAAACAGCTAACAGCAATTTCCCAGCTAGCCAGCTCAAATTCACCTGCAATAATATGCCACAAAATATGATCAGAAACCACCATTTGAAATCTCTTGCGGGCAATAAACCATGTTTTCCATGCATCTTTGCAAAGAACATTGACATAGTGTACTGATTCAAATGGGAATAACTCCAAGCTGTGGTTCAGCTGTATTTCTTTCACAGTTTGGTGAAAACTACTTATGTACTTTAGTCAGGCTTATAGGGTAGGTTTGACTTTTGTTGCTTGGGTGTAGTTCTGATGAATACTTCAAAAGTCATCTGGAGTTCTCTACCCCATGAAATCCTACAGCAGCAACTGCTGGCAAAGTTTTATCAGGCATGCTCATTCAGTAATGCCATGTGACCTAAAACGGTGAGCTTACATGTTGGGATTGAGACCAGGAGCAGAGCACAGGGGCTAGGAAGGCATTAATTTTTATTTTTTTGGTGCCTCCTACCATTCTGCTCCTAATTTGCAGAGAAGGCTGGTAGTCGGTCTGAGTGGTGGGTAGAGGTCAGGTCAGTGGAGGTGAGGCCAAGGAGTCATGTGCACTGAGACAGTCTTTGAATCAGCAACCCATACCACAAAAAGAGAACAGCGAGACACAAAGCTTTCGAAGCCATGTGTCAAACTCACAGAGACGTACTAAAACATTCCTTTGGATTTATAGTCTCCGCTTCCAGCAACATTTATTCCACAGAAAATCAAATAACTCTAAGATGAGTGGGAGGGAGAGAACTCACACAGCCATATTAACAATGATAATGATTAAAATAAGTTATAATACTCTTAGAGCCACACAGTAAAACAGTTTTTGAAACACAGGAACAAGTTCTAAAATGATCCAAAAATCCACACATTTTTATATCCACCAGAAAGCATCCACCAGAGCATGCCTACTTTGAAGCAACACAAGTCTAGATTATGTGTATCATATAATTAATAGGGACTGGATTGCTCAGGAGAAAATACGGGAAACCCTTTGCGTGTAGTAACAATAATGATAAGTAATAAACCCGCAGGAACCCTTTGCAATGCATACACAGGCACACAGGCACACACACTGACATACTCCCTAAGTGTAGCTTTAGGCCCCATACTATATAGACACAAGCACCAAACCATAATGTCAATGTCAATGAGAATGCTAATTAAAATAAGATGTGATATTCTCAGTGCCATACAGAAAAGCAAACTTTGGAGCGCAGAAACAGGTCCTGAAGGCATCCAGAAATCCTGATTAGAACTATTCAGAAGCAACACAGTAAAACATTCCAGATGCATGCTTAGTATTGCACAAGAGGAAGCATGGCAATCAAATATATAGTCGATTCCTTTGCATGTTCCTATTATTATATTCTTGGTAAACCAGGAGTCCTCAAATTTTTCACCAGGGGGCCAGTTGAAAGGTGCCAGTGCTGGGCGCAGGCCTGAAAGGTGGTGCCAGTGGCACATGCACGCTGGCAAGGGTCAAGGGGAGGCACAGGAGGGTGGGCGCACACAGCGAGGGGAGGGGAGGCGGGGTGGGCACGCAAGGCAGCGGCAGGCAGGCGAGATAAATGGGCATGGCAGGCTGGATCCAGCCCGCGGGCCGTAGTTTGAGGACCCATGTTGGTAAACCATCATAAACCCACTGGAAAACACACAGACACATCCAATGCAAAGAGATGCACACATAAAGGAATCCCCCTCCTACCCCCCCAAAGCATACGCACACAGAGTCACACAGAAATGCAGTCTTTGGATCCGAGGAACAACCTACTGCAAAGGGGGACACCAAGATGATGATGATGATGATGTTGTCGAAGATATCCCCAAAGCCAAACAGAAAAGCATCCAAAGCACTGGCCATTGAGTTCTGAGCACTCAAAAAGGCATATCTTTATATGTCTCTTCATTCACATCACAACCCCCTTTCCATGCCTCTTAGAATTCAAGAATATACATGAATTAAGTATGGTCAAAGCTTACAAAATCCACCCCTTCCATATCTCATAACATCCCCAAAAGCAGGGGGAATGCTTGAGTAACTACTACTAAGAAATGTGGGTGGGGAGCCAGAAAGGGGTCAAGGCCACAACTCTGTACATACTTACTTGGGAGCAACTGTCTTGGCACACACTTGGGCGTACTTCTGAGGAAACATGTATAGGCTTTCACTGAAGAGGCACAACAGAGAAAAAAGGGAAATGACTCAAAGAAAGAGGGAAGCATCATCTACCTTGTGTACTGGCAGAGGCAGCCCTCTCTCTCTTGTGCACACTCCCTCTCCACGCAGAACTTTTTAAAAGTGAAAAGGTATACATTTTCCACTGATATAGACTCTCTTGCTTGTTAGTTGATATAAGAAAAGGAATAAGTTCTGTATTATTTTTTTATTCAATTTTATATGCTGCCCCACTAGCCATAGGCTGTTTGGGTGATAAAATCTTAGCTTGCCTCATGATAAAATCCATATGCAACATAATATCTTCCATGTGTACAGCCTCTTCTCCTCTTCCTCCTCCCAAGAAAAAAAAAATCAATGTGTGCTGTTCTCCTGTACCACACCATGCTCTGGCTGCCATGCACAGTGATGTGGCTTGTTATTGAAATGAGGATTTGTTGGGGTGAGCCCTTCCTTGCCAAGCAAGCCTGGGAACTGGGGCTGTCTGCACTCTGCTGCACCTCTGTATAACACAGAAAATGCTAATATGGTGCTGCAGGGGGATCCCTTACAAGGGTGTCCTTCCAGCCTGATCCTCTCTTTCCCATTATACAACTAGGCTGAAGAGACTACTGGAAAATACTGAGCCTGCATGTCTAGCACAAACACCCACTATAACCCTGGAAACCATGGAGATTTTGAGGGCAGCAAGGTAAGAAAGGGACACTGAAAGCTATGCTTGCCTTACATTAAACATCTGCTAATGTGCATTCCCACAAGTGTGCACTTGTGCCAGTGTATTAGTGCACATTTGTAAATGAATCAAAGGTGCATACAAATAAATTCTGATTCTGTCAGTGGGTGGACAACAAAACAAAATATCTCAGACAATCTACAAAACACAGGCAGAGCAGATTGAACAAATCTGTTCTACGCTCCTCATACTTCAAATCTACATGTAAAAAGGCACTTGTTTGCAATGCAAATCATAAAGGGTTAAAGTCTGCTACTCAACACTGCAGGGTCCTGATCTGGATGCATAAGCTTACTTTTGAGTAACAAAGAAAAAAGCTACATCTTTAAAATATGCAGTTTGATTCTCAGATAACTTTTTATTTGTATATAATCAGTAGACAATCACAAAACATTTAACAAAAGATAAATAAAAAGGAAATTGCATTATCTCTAGTAAGATAACACAGGAAAACCATATAGCATAAGTTTAACAGCTACAAACCTTGCTGGGTGGTTGTAAAACACTCTCTCAGACTATCTTCTTGGGGGTAACAGCACTGGATTATACTACATAGTCCCGTCTCAGTCACCCCTGCAAGGGGGAATACCAGCAGACTGCATTGCTAGGTAAACTACTTTACCTTTAGCCTGATTCCCAGCCTGCAATAATCAGAGTAAGCTATATTTCTGGGCTGCCATGAGACAACTTCTCTGAATCACAGTCCCCTCTATCTGCAAAAGGAAACCGTATTTGCATTAGAATTTCCTCAGATATGGATATTGTTCAAATGGTGAAATACTAATCCCCGCACGGCCATGGAGCCAACTGGGTGACTTTGGGCCAGTCACAGACTCTCAGCCCAACCTACCTCACAGGGTTGTTGTGCGGATAAGATGGAGGAGGAGAATGATGTAAGCTGCCTTGAGCCCTTTGTAGGAAAAAGGCAGGATATAAATCAAAAAATAAATAAAATAAATAAAATGTGGCTGTAATCCTCTGGTTTAATGCAACTTATGCAGAGTGGGGAGACTAAGGTTGCATCTTGGCAGGGCTGGTGCTGGTCACCTGTACTCCCTGCCCCT